GCAGTGAATTGGCTTGTGACCAAATACCACACCAAATACTTTAACTTCCTTCTCCACTTCCACATTATACTTAACACAGTCGGCTGCTTTGTTGTCCATGAAAAACGCAACTAGATCACGGTTTAATTATGTAATTATGTAACATGTTTTTTATTATAAATAGAGATGTAACCTAAACCTATGAGACATTAAATAAAATTTCTAGTGCCGCCTAGACACCGAGGACGTAAGCACATTGCCGAACCTCGTTAAAATTCTTGTGTTCTTTCGTTTACTTTTCCCGATTCTTCAACAATTGGTATCAGATGTCAGGAACAAAATTCGAAGTTGCAAAATTCGATGGTCAGGGTAACTTTGGATTATGGCAAACGAGGGTGAAGGATCTGTTGGCGCAGCAGGGGATCCTGAAGGCTTTGCGACCTACAAAGCCTGTGTCGATGAAGGAGGACGATTGGGAAGAATTGCAACAGCGAGCGGCAGGAACCATACGATTATGCTTGGCGGACAAGGTTATGTATCACGTCATGCATCTGTCGTCTCCAGACGAAATTTGGAGGAAGTTGGAAAGTCAGTTTATGTCCAAATCTTTAGCGACAAAATTATATCTAAAGCAGTGGTTGTATGGGCTGAAGATGCAGGATGGTCATGATTTGATGCAACACGTGAATGTCTTCAATCAAATCATTTCTGATTTGGCTAGGCTTGATGTGAAAATTGAGGATGAAGACAGAGCGATGATTCTGTTGTGTTTGTTTCCTCCCTCTTACGAACACAAGGTGACTACTCTTACATATGGGAAAGAGACTATCAATGTTGAGGAGATTACTGCAATCTTGTTGGCTCACAACCAGTGGAAGCAGAAGGCAGGGTCTGGCAAGTGGAATTCCAGATCCAAATCTAGGGATAAGAAGACAATTCACTGTTACAAGTGCAAAGACGCGGGACATATGAAGCGAGACTGTCCGAAGTTGAAAAAGAAGACTGATGAGAAGCGTGATGATTCATCCAAGTCTGTGAATGTGGTCGAGGATGACAATTTTGATTGCAGTGAGGGTGATATGCTCTCTATTTCAACGACTCAATTGACGGATGTTTGGATTCTTGATTCTGGATGTTCCTATCACATCACGCCAAATAGGGAATGTTTTTCGAAATACAAGTCGGTTAATTATGGTTCTGTTTATTTGGGTGATGATCGATGTTGCAATATTGTTGGTATTGGTGATGTCAGAATTAAGATGTATGACGGCTCTGTTCAGACGTTGAGTGGTGTTCAACATATCCCATATTTGAAGAAGAATTTGATTTCTTTGGGCACTTTGCACAAGAATGGTTTTATCCCTAAGGCTGATGAGGATAGGGAGACCATTCGGATTGTTAAAGGAGCTTTGATTGTGATGAAAGGAAAGATGACGACGGAGAATATTTACATATTGTTAGGGAGTACCGTTGTAGGTGGAGTTCATTCTATTGAGTCCTGTGATGATACTACAAAACTGTGGCATATGCGTCTTGCTCATCTTAGTGAACGTGGTATGGCAGAATTACACAAAATAAATTTGTTGCATGGTGTCAAAAGTTGTAAGCTCGATTTTTGCAAGTATTGTGTTCTTGGTAAACAGACTAAAGTCCGTTTCAAGACTGCGAAGCACACAACTCAAGCGATTCTTGATTATGCACACTCTGATGTATGGGGGCCTTCCACGACATCGTCTCTGGGTGGATATAGGTATTATGTTACTTTTATTGACGATTTTTCACGGAAAGTTTGAGTGTATTTTTTGAAACAGAAGTCAGACGCTTTTGAGAAGTTCAAGCTATGGAAAGCTGAGGTAGAAAACCAAACAGGACAAAAAATCAAGTGTTTACGGTCTGACAGTGGTACGGAGTACACAGATTCACAATTCTTACACTTCTGTAAGGAGCACGAGATTAAGAGACATTTTACAGTGCGCAAGACACCACAACAGAATGGTGTTGCGGAACGGATGAACATGTCATTGAATGAAAGAGCCAGATGTTTGCGGTTGAATGTGGGGCTTCCCAAACACTTCTGGGCCGAGGCTGTTATTGTAACATCTTCAATACCGGGTTAGTGACCAAATTGTAAAATTTCAGGAATTGGTGATTAAAGTGGGATAATTGAATAATTTAATTATTTATTGGAAAAATGATGAAGGTTATTAGTAATTATTGAATTAAGTAAAGGATAAAATAGTCATTTGACATGGAAGATTTTTATTTTTCCTTTATTAGATAAGGACGCCACGTGGAAGAGAAAAGAAGGCAAAATAAATTTCCAGAGTTCTCTTCTTATTCTTCAGCCGTGAGTCACCATGGCAAAGGTGAGTTTTGTGGTTAGTTGATTATTTGTTAAAATAAAAGTTGGTTTATGGTTATTAGATGATAACTAAGCTTAAGGAAAGCTTAAGTTATCTTAAAATCAAAGTATGATGGAGTTAGGAGGGATTAAAGATTTGAGGTTCTTGGGTGAAATCTTGAAATAGAGTTCATAACTAGAGTTGGAAGTTAAATTTGACTTGTCAATGGCCTAATTAAGAAGTTAGAAGTCATAGAATTGGAATTAAAACCTATTGCAAAGTTGGTTTAATTCTTGAGTTACATATGAGGAAAAGAATTTTGAAGTTAAAGATGATTTATATGGATATAAATTGGTTTAAGCATGTGTATATGAGTTAAGAACATGAAAGGGGTTGAAAGATGAAGCATTTGAGTTGATTTGAGTTGATTTTCGGGCTTAAAAATGAATTTTGGGCTATGTGCATCGATGCACATTCGAGGTGCACCGATGCATCAAGGGTAAATTTCCAGAAATTGTTCAGAGTGTATCGATGCACAGGAAGTGCATCGACGCACCCATTAAAAATAGAAACATCGAATGCAATTAGTGCATCGATGCATAAGGAGTGTATCGATGCACATGTTAAGGGATGCATCGATACACTGTAGAATGCATCGATGCACTTCAAGGGAAATAGAATTATACCTTTCTTTTGGTCTAAGAAATGATATATTAGTGTATATCAATTGGATACAAATATGTATCAATGTATGATTATATAGATATCGAGCACGAACAAGTCCCAGAGCGATTATCAAGTTATGATTCGATCGCCAGAGAGGAAATTATAAAAATGGATTGGAACTTAATGAGGCCAAGGTGACTGCGTATTATTTTATATATGATGTTTAATGGGAAATAAGACTTGTGACAAGTCTAATTTCTATAGTATTGTGCATGAAGCATGAACATGAACATGTGTTTGTTATGAGTGTCTGAGTTATATGTTATGGTATGTGTTGACATGTTATTGTATATGTATTTCATGGTTGATATGAATATATTCTATGTTATGATGATATGATAAGAAATTATATGAATATAAAAGAGAAGTTATGTGATAAGATCTTTGAGATATAGAAAAATGGAATATAAGATTATGCGAATACATGATATGTGATAAATTAGGTAATAATATGGGAATATGGTAAAAAGCGAGTTTAGAAGAAATGATGGGAATGAAGTACTCAAGTGTAAAGGTTATATAAACAATAAGAATGTGAGTTGGGTAAGTGAATAGTGGTATGAACATTTATTTGAAATAGTAAAATAGAATTATATCATTGAATGAGAATTGAAACAAGATAGATAATATTGACCTATATGATGATATGAGACTTGAACATAAGTGATAATAGGAACATATAAGATGAGTTAGATGGGAAAGATACATATGCTTCAATAGAATTATGATATATGGGTTGTATGATGGAAATCCATGTAATCATATTAGAAAGTTATAGGTACTATATGAATTGAATTAGGTAAATAGATTAGATTAGTATATAAATGAAATAATAGAAGTGACATATGTTTATGAGTGTGACAGATGTGATATGATCTAGGTGAATATCATAGAATGAGGTATAAGCTATATGATATGAGATAAGTTATTTTATACATATATGATATAAGCTATTAATCAGGACATATGAGATTATGAGAAGGAGAATATAAATGATGTGAATACAAGTATAGGAAAATGATATATATATATATATATATATATGAAGATGAATTATATGAATACACATTTAGATGATGAAATGATGGATTATATGAACATGAAAATATCTATATATATATAGGATAAGACATAAAAATAAGATATAAGCAATGTGACAAGGAATGTGAAATAGTATGAAAAGTGAATATGAGCTACGTGATATGTGAAAGTGATTTACGTGTTTATATGTATATGTGATTCAACTTATGTGACATAATCTACGTGCTATGTGAAAGTGAACTACGTGTTTATATGAAAATGTGAAATGACATAAATGATTATGCCCATGTTATGTGTCATGAGAGCTAGGGTATAGTTGGCATGCCAAGAGTCGAGGGTCTATGCGGTCCTTCGGGACATATATGTTTTCTTTGGAACATATGTGAGGTCTTTTGAGACACATACTTGATCCTTGGCATATGTATATGATTCTTAAGGAATGATATGTGGTCTTTAGGGACAACCTTATATGGCACTTCGGTGCATTTCTATGCGGTACTACGGTGCAATTCTACATGGCACTTCGGTGCATTTATACGAGCTGTGGTGACAGCATTAGTGCACAACCTATATAGACTCATATATCTATAGTTCTCACATGTGTATATGGGCTAATAAGAAAAAAAACAAATATATTACATGTGATTTGTATGCTTTTGTGATATGAATGGTATTATATGATGTATATGATGATATGTGGATTGTATGATTAAATGAGGCAAATGTTGGTTAAAATGCTAGGTATAAGAGGATATGTATTAAGTGATATAAATGATAATAATATTGATAATGAAATAAGGCTAAAGATGGAAATGATGAGTGATGAATATATATGTGTATATGTTTTTATATGTAATTATATATATTGCATATGTGTTATAGGGATTTGTTACATGAATAAGGGTATGAGTGATAGTAATAATTGTTCATGCATGATTACAAGCTATAGTTATATTTTATGTTTATTGCCTCACTAAGTCATCGACTTAGCGTGTGATTATTTCACACGTAGGTTACCGAAGTGAGAAGAGTAAAGAGCAATGTGGAGCAAGATAGGTCAGTTCTCCTTACCAAAGGTCAGATCAGAAGAAAGGTGAATAATATGTATTTTAATACATAAAGTTCTAGTTGGTGTATTTAAAATAACATATTGTATAAGCTCAGAATAGTTCGATAAAGGTTTTGAATAAGTTATATGTAATAATAAATTTTAATTACTCACTATTTTATACAAGTAAAGGTTTTTGAAAAGTCAATGTGACACTTCGGACTCGGATCTGGGTCGGATACGGGTTGGGGGTGTTACAGTTAACATGGCGTGTTATCTTATCAACAGATCGCCAAGGGCATCATTGGCTGGGAAAGTTGTATAAGAGGTATGGACTGGTCATGATGTTAGTTTTGATAACTTACGGATTTTTGGTTGTCCTGCTTATGTGCATGTACCTGCTGATGAGAGATCCAAACTTGATGCAAAATCGAATGAGTGCATTTTTCTTGGTTACAAGAAAGGTGTCAAAGGATTCAAGTTCTGGGATCCAATTGCGAAGAAAATTGTGATCAATAGAGATGTTGTTTTTTATGAATAATCCATGTTGTAGCAGAAGAAAGACACAACAGTGGTGGATTTCGAGCTGTTTCCAGTTGAGAAACCAGAAACTTCTCAACCGACTTCTGGTGGTTCCGCTACGGATGATTTACAGGATTATAGTCTCGCCAGAGACAGGGTGAGATGGACGAATATAAAGCCCCCGAGTAGATTGGGTTTTGAAGACTTGGTCTCTTTTGCACTTACTGTTAGCAGTGATGATCCGGTTCTTTTCATTATGTCGTTACTAGTCAGGAAAACGACAAGTGGATGGTTGCCATGGTTGAGAAGATAGAGTCTTTGAATCACAATCGTACATGGGAGTTAGTTCTCCTTCTTGAGGGTAAGAAGTCAATTGGTTGCAAATGGGTGTATAAGAAGAAACCAATAGTAACAGAAAAAAAGGAGGAGAAGTTCAAGGCTCACTTGGTAGCAAAGGGTTTTTCACAGAAGAAAGGAGTTGATTATGATGAAATCTTTTCTCTTGTGGTCAGGCACACTTCAATCCGAGCAGTACTTGCATTGGTGGCTAGTTGGGATTTGCATTTAGAGCAGATGGATGTTAAAACTGTTTTTTTTTCATGGTGATTTAGAGGAGCAGATCTACATGCGATAGCCTGAAGGTTTCACTCAACTTGGAAACGAGCATTTAGTTTGTAGATTGAAGAAATCTTTGTACGGGTTGAAACAGTCTCTGAGACAGTGGTATAAACGGTTTGACTCATATATGATCAAGATTGGCTACAACCGATGTGAGTATGATTGTTATGTCTATGTTAAGAGCCTTGATGATGGTTCTTTTATTTTTCTGTTATTGTATGTTGATGATATGTTGATTGCTGCGAAAAACATGGATGATGTTATTGGTTTGAAAACCTTATTGAGTCAGGAATTTGATATGAAAGATTTAGGTGATGCAAAGAAAATTATTGGAATGGAAATTTGCAGGGACAAAGACTCAAGGAAACTGTGGCTATCTCAACAGGGTTATATTGAGAAAATGCTAGAAAGGTTTGCGATGAGCAGCGCAAAACCAATTAACACTCCATTGGCGAATCACTTTAAGCTCTCATTAGAACAGTGCCCGAAGACAGATAAGGAAGCTGAAGATATGGCAAAGGTTTCGTATTCTAATGTTGTTGGCTGCTTGATGTATGCAATGGTATGTACTCGTCCTGATTTAGCTCATGTTGTTAGTCAAGTTTGTAAGTACATGTCTAAACCTGGTAAGCAACATTGGGAAGCAGTCAAGTGGATTTTTTGGTACTTAAAGGGTACTGTGGGACATGGAATTGTTTTTGGTAGTCAGCGGGATAATCCTTTGGTTGTAGGATATGTGGATTCAGACTATTCAGGTGACTTGGATAATAGAAGATCTACGGCAGGGTATGTGTTTACTCTTGGTGGAGGGCCTATTTGTTGGAAGTCTATTGTTCAATATGTTGTGGCACTATCTACAACTGAAGTTGAATACATGGCAGCAGCTGAAGCTGCAAAAGAAGCTTTATGGGTTACTGGTTTAGTGAAGGAGTTGAGCGTTCAACAAGGTGGAGTTCAGTTGTTTTGTGATAATCAAAGTGCTATTCACTTGGCTAAAAATCAGGTGTATCGTGCTATAACTAAACATATTGATGTAAGGTTCCACAAGATCAGAGAGTTGGTTGCATCTGGAGAGGTTTTGTTTCAGAAGGTACATACTGATGAGAATGCCGTTGATATGTTCACCAAGCCAGTTACGACAAACAAGTTCAAGCATTGCTTGGACTTGTTGAATGTTTTGAGTTGTTAAAGAAGTAAGGTTACTCAACCCACATTGAAGTTTCCAAGGGGCAGGATATTCGCCAAGGTGGAGATTTGTAAGGTATGGCTCATAAATGTACCAAGTTTTTTATTATAAATAGAGATGTAACCTAAACCTATGAGACATTGAATAAAATTTCTAGCGCCGCCTAGGCACCGAGGACGTAAGCACATTGCCGAACCTCGTTAAAATTCTTGTGTTTTTTCATTTACTTTGCCCGATTCTTCAACAATCATCGATACCGATCTGTTTGGTGCAAACGAACTCTCGCCATCCCTTGGTAAGAACCGGCTTTGGGTACTTTTTGTTCGTTTTACGAGTGTAGATTTGGAACTTCCAAATACGACCGCAATCGTCTCGCACTTGAAAATCGACCATATGCTTGTTTCCACTTAAAGGAGGGAAACACTTGAGGGACTTGCTCGGAAGGGTCATTCGCTTCTCAATATCTGTCTTCTTAAGATTCTTTAACGCGATTGGTGCCATTGATGAAATAGGGTGTTAAAAGTTTATTGTACGTTTGGTAGAGAAACGATGGGTCTGGAAATATATAGAGAGAAGAACAAGAGTGGCTCAAGGACTAAAGTTGCCTACTATTTTTCTTCCACGGATTTTCCTTCCCAACCGCGCGGTTTCTATTTTATGTTGTTGTGAATCGAATGTCTTATTGTGAAGTAGCGCGATCTTACTGCAGTTTCTGATTGTGACGCGCTTTTGTTTTCTTTTTATAAGCTCCAAATACGTCATTATTTAAAAAATGTTGAAGTTACAAGTTCCCCGCCCAAACAAATTATATTTAACCTTCCAATGACGTCGATGATCACAAGTTTAGATGCTTCTCAAACGTGGGACCAAACTTGTCGTGTCTTAATTCAATTCTAGCAATGAACTCGCGCAATGTTTGCCAAAAAGAAGCCCTCATATTGCGCTTAAGTGCGTTCCAAAGACAAAACAAATCTTAATTATCAATACATCTGATTTAGATGGTTAATCAAAAAATATTGTACCGGTTATACTAAAACAAACTAGGGTAGATTATAATGATAGTCCCTACTTTTAGATTAATTTCACATCAGTTACTAGACTTTTAAAAAATTTATTATGATCACTAAACATTTAATTTATTTTTATTACATGCATAACAGCTAATTGTTGTCCAGAAAACTTGAATTGACAACAAAAAAATTAAGGTATTAAATTGACAGTTGTCATAAATGTCAAGTTTTAGATGAATAAAATGGCCGTCGGTCAATATCAATTTTTAATAGTGAAAATATTTTATTTGATTAAAAGATTAACATGTTCTAATTTTAAGTTGATTCTGCGATTTACAATAGACAAATTTAAAAGTTTACACTTTTGGTTGTAAAACAATCATAAGATGACATTCATAATAATAGTTGATGATGAATAATGAGAGTCCCAATGCATTACCTACATATTTAGAAATAACATGCTTTTTTAAATGTTGTTGCAAAGAGCTTAATTCATGACCTGGTGACGAAAGGAGATATGGTGAAATGAAACAACGCTATTTAGAAGAAAGAAGACAAAAACAAATATGCTGTATCCATCGATGTACAAAGCAAAAGATGTCGCAAAAGTTGTCATAATTCATTTTATTAATGAAAAAATTACAGGAACAAAAGCAACTGGAAATGACATCGCGATGCGATAGGCGTACCGCACGAGTGCGCGCGTGGTTTCTTTATTTTTCCGTCTTCTTTTGCTAGACCAATCACGCTGACGCACCGAGTCAATGCCCGATAAATAACACATTAAGGAGTCACCGCGGGACAAGAATAATAAAAACATGTGTGAGAATGGCGTCATCTCCTAGATAAGTATGAAACTAGAATCTAATAAGTTTTTGATACGATTCGATTTTATCCTATCAGATTTTTGAAAAATTCGAATTTAGATCTGGTCCGACTCATGCCCATGTTTACTCATCTCTATTACAAAATTATCTAATGTAGAAAAGAAAACGTCGCTTTCCAATTCTACTTTAACTTCTTCTATACAATTTTTTTTATTAATTTAGAGTAATTAAAAGGTAGTATTTATTCTAAGGTAAATATCATACTCATAACATTTCTGATATTCGAACACGAGACTTCAAAAAATAACAACAAATCATTTACCACTGAAGTCGTTTGAGTTTACACCTCCTACACAAATTAGATCTCATAAATAAAATACTTATCATGGAGCTATCATTAAGTATGGACATGGGTCGGGTCGGATTTTCGGTCAACCCGATCCGATTTGAAAATTATACAACATTCACACGAACTCAACCTGACTTTTTGAGATAAAATTCGAACTCGACCTGAAATAATATATTTATTAAAAATTATTTTTATTCGATAAAAATAAGAATTTAATTGAAAAAATAATATATAGAGGAACATTATTCTAATTATCCCTAAATATAAAGGTAAAATTATATATTTTTCTCGCATCAAATCACATATTTTTTACTTTAAATTTAAACCCAATTCGATCGAAACACAATTTGCAAAAAAACTCGATCTGAACTCAAATTTTTTAAATGTCCATCCCTAGCTATCACACGTACCTTTAGCGAGCACTGTGATAAAATCTAACAATCGCGCGTTCTCAACATTGGACTAATTAATTATTTAATATAACATCATCTCATATTATAATTTTTGTATAGTAAAGGAGGTTGAGGCGGCCATTACATTATCGCTTTATATAGAGATCATCTTTATATATTCGTATTTCATAAGCACTCAAAAAATTTAAAAAATTTAAAAAATTTTAAACCTTCGACATTTAGGGGTTTCGAAGAACATACAAAATAATTTCAGAAAAGATATATTGAATATCTAATATTCTTAAAAAACAATTAATTGATATGATCTTTAATAACTACATGTAATCTATCATAATCAAATTTATCAACTAATTTGATCTTATTCATCTAATTTGATATCATATAAAAAATTATAATGATTCAACGACTAACACACGTGAAAACCTATTATAAAACATCTTAATTAAAATTGAAAGACAAAATATGATCTTAATAAAATCATCTTACCCTCATTCATCGTTATTCTATCTCTTTATGAGGATAAAATATTTTAGCATTGATTAATGATCAATCCACCACCAATTATAAGATGACGTTTGATTGTCATGAATCCTTTGGAATTAAAGAGAATTGGAATTCAATTCCACCATTTTCTCATGTTTGGTTCAAGTTTTCCAAGGGAATTGGAATTCCGCATGGCTTCAACTTTCCATCAAATGAGGGAAAGTGAATTGATATTTGACCATACTACCCTCATCAATCTTTTGGTAACTTATTCATATATTGAATAAAATTATTTTTTTATTATTTCGGGTCGGGTTTCTAATTTATATATTCGGGTCGGGTCGGTTTTTTTAAGTGTGATATTCGGGTCGGGTCGAGTTCGGGTTTAGGGTGAAAAATACTGACCCGAAAATATATATAATTTTACTTTATATATTTAGGAATAATTACAATAATACCCCTCTATATATAATTTTTTTCAATTAAGTCAATGTTTTTATTGAAAAATAATAATTTTTTATTATTTCGGGTCGGGTCGGATTTCTAATTCATATATTCGGGTCGGGTCGGGTGAAACTTTATTTTGGTAGGGTCGGGTTCGGGTTTAAGGTGAAAAATACCCGACCCGACCCAAAAAATATATAATTTTACCTTATATATTTAGGAATAATTATAATAATACCCCTATATATATATATATATATTTCCAATTAAGTCACTGTTTTTATTGAATAAAAATAATTTTTTTATTATTTCGGGTCGGGTTTCTAATTCATATATTCGGGTCGGGTCGGGTGAAACTTTATTTTGGTCGGGTCGGGTCTCGGATGGAGGTTCCCTTGTTCTCGGGTCGGGTCGGGTCAGGTGGACCAAAAACCCGACCCAACCCGACCCATGACCATCCCTAATTTGGATAATTTAACTTGTGATATTTATTAGCATGATTTTTATAATTTATTGAAATGAATAATCAATCAATAAAATTAAAATTTATTTTTTAAAATTTTTTATAATATATTGCTACATGTAATTTATAAAACAAACTAAAATTAAGCAAAAAAACAAGAAGGGCAATCATGTCATTTTACATTACTGAAATCAAATTCATCTGACATGTCTGCAAACCAAACAAAATATGGAATTGGATTCCAATTCAATTTCTTGCCAACCAAACAGAATATGGAATTAGATGTCAATTCCTGACAGATTCTAATTCCCTCAGAAACATTCCAACGAACCAAACGTTACCTAAGTCTCTGTTCAAATTGAAAAGAAAGAACCGTATGTAATTATCACAATCAACCTATTACAATAAACTACATTATTATAGTGATATTTTTTATTAATTATATAAATTAATCATATAGCGTCACAAGTTTATAAATATAAAAAATTCTTAAAAATATAAAAAAGTTTAAAATATTATGTGGTGTGACAAAGCCATATCCATACAAGTCAAGTGGGGCCGTTCTAGCTGAAAGGAAAAAAAAGTGCGGCATTTTTTTTCCTTCTTAATTTCTTCGAACGCTGTCGCGCGATCGCCTCTATTTAGCGAATGATGGCCAAAATATCAAGCAACACCCTTGGTTTTAGAGATCAAACACTTAAATTTAAAAGAAATGCTAGTAAGAGAAGATCGACAGATCAAGCTAAAATGCTATCAACGATGTGAAAAATTTCTGGGTAATCAAACTGTCACGGTAAGAGGAGAAGCTATAAGAATCGGAGTAAGAGAATTGGGGAAATCAGAAAAAGGGTTAGAGATTTAAAATTGGGACTGGACCTAACACGTTTTACAGCTCACTAAGGATAATAAACATCTTGCTTAGCTGTGTAGGTGGTTATAATCAGTACAACAAGAACTGCCAGCTGTAGGGTAACTATGAGAACACTATAATTATATAAACCATGTACTAGAGGAGGAGAAAGTATACTTTGATTGAATGAATTCTAAGCTTCTTAAATCTATTCTTTTCTCTCCTTAATCTTAATTCTCTTAATTTTTTGTCTAAATTCCTTCTCTAATCTCCTAGGGTCATAACAACTGGTATTCAAAGCCATCATTTACTGGTAGCTTGAAGCAAAGAAACAAACCATGGCTGAATCTTCTGTTCTCTCTGCAATTCAAAACCAGATTGACGAATTATCAAAGCTGGTGAAGCAAGATCAGTATATGGAGACAAGGATTACAAAGAATAAGGGTTATTTCGAGCAGATTTTAAGGGTCTTGACAGGAAAGACGGTAGAGCAAGACCAAAACAGCCCTAAAACGGGGTCGTTACTTGCTGCAATTGAAGGCACAAATGATGGGTGTCAAGTGTTTGATAAAATGTCATCCATCACTAGTACTCAATACTTGGAAAGTGGTTCCGACCGTGAGTGGACTGAAGAACAAAAGCTGGAATGGATGATTACGCTTGATGCTTCGGGTTTTATTTCAATTATGCAACATGCTCGTAACCGTGCTTTGCGTGAGGAAGTTTACCGTCCTTATATAAA